ATAATTTTCTTACTCTTATTGTTTTTTACTCCTCCAATGGTCTCCTGAAATGTTTCAAATTTGTGGTGGTTTCCAGCACTCAGTAAGCACCAACACCGTCATCATCCCGTGTGTCTTCCCCACCACTACGATATCCGTGTGACCTCTCCACCACCACAACACCCCGTCTGTCCCCTCCACCACCACAACACCCCGTGTGTCCCCTCCACTGTCAAAACACCCCGTGTGTCCTCCAGCACCAAGCCACTTTTGAAAGGGAAGAGCAGAACAACTGCGGCCAGTGCCACCAGTTGACGGCATGGCGAAGCACTTAACCCGTCAGCCAAGCTGGTAGTCATCTTGGATTGCTTAATTCCTTAAGGGATGAGAGTGGCACCCGCTGTATTATCAATATAAAACGCTTCAAAGGTTAACTATCAGCTAAGAACAACTATACATAAGATAATGAACACGAATTATTATTATAATCAAAACTAAGCGCTAAATCCACAAGCGTCATACAGCACTATGAACAAGTATAACATCACTGAAACATTCTAAGAAACGCCAACATCAGTGCCTAAACATGTCAACACTTTAGCAAACCAAGGTAAGTCAACGTAAATATAAAAGGCTGAAGTATACTGCGATTATATTTTAAGACTCACTCCCTCTCTATTATGACAAAAGTAAACAAAATACTTCATGAAAGTTGTCTAACAAAATATGGTGTGTCGGCAGCACTCAAGAATGTATTAGGCACTGAATGAATTCAACTTGTGAATGAAATGACTTGGCATGGCGCGCCCTCTCTCTATTTGGCATGTATACACATACACCACGCTGTGGTTGATGGTTAATTGGATTTAAAACTTATCGGCTACACAAAGAGTCATTAATGCTTTAAACCAAGGGCTGGCACGCAAGACACAATGAAGTCAACGACATCATAAAGAGAAGCCTTACCTTTGATACCTTTGAAGAGCTTCGAGAGTTTGACTACTCTCGGAGCCCGGCCATGGACCAGCCTTGTTACAAATGGATGCCCAGCCGAGAGAGCGAGCCCCGATCACTAGCAGCCAACAATACTCACAACCCTGCAAACCGCCCCAGCGGGATCACCATCTATCCTTGGAAGAAAGGCAAGCTCTCAGCATGGGACTATACCTGCGTGTTGACGCTGGCTGACACCTACCTCCATCACAGTGTCGGGCGACAGGGAGGAGTACAAGATCGGTAAGTACAGAGACATAAACCAACAGTATCAATTTGTCCCAATGGCATCAGAGACCTTGGGATCATGGAAAAAAAAACGCCGCATGTTTCCTTAAAGAACTGGGTTCAAGACTTATCGACACCACCAGGGACCCGAGGGCAGCCACTTTCATGTTCCAGCGCCTCAGCGTGGCCATCCAGAGGGAAAATGCTTGCTGCATACTGGGCCTGCGTCCGGCTTCAGAGGAGCTGGAGGAGATTCATAATCGTTGATATTTTGTACCAATGTATTCAAGTTTGTGTTTTTTGGTCAATGTATTGTCTATAAAGTTTACATAGAATACAGACTATGGGGAGGGAAGTGGTAGGAAAAGACAATATTCAAGCAGCTCCGGGAAGAAAACTGAGTTTTCCCTAAGTACGTTTTATCCACGACGCCAGACTCCGTGAATAAAGTACAGTATACTCTGATACAGAGTATACTGTATATATATATATATATGTGTGTGTGTGTGTGTGTGTGTGTGTGTGTGTGTGGTGTGTGTGTGTGTGTGTGTGTGTGTGTGTGTGTGTATACACAAAAATGAGAGACAGAACTATGTAACCGTGTGTGCTGCAGATGCTTTATTATGCATTTCCAAACTTATCATGGGGGGGGGAGAAGTCTAGTCAAGAGCTGACAGAACCTGATGATGGGTTTAGGAACTGGGTTTCAACGTCCTTATATATATATTAAGAATGTATGCAAGCTGTATGTTAGCCCTAACCGGAATACTCGGATACACTTTATCCCTAAATTCACATTATACACATTCATGTGCATAATGATGCAATAGTTTAATGTACATCTCTTGGTAGTGCAAACTTCCATGTACATGTAGCCTTGCCGAAGCTGACCAGTCGCATCCCTTCCAGGGGATGCCTAGATGCTGGTGAATAGCTCTTGATTCAAGGACATGGAGCTATTCTATACTTTCTGGAGTCAAACTTAATTATTTCCAACTTCCCAGTAGTTGTATGACCCCGTATGGGACATACAATACTAAGATAAAGGCAAACTATGGTAAAGTGACCCCACGTGACTAGATTTATAGTGGGATAGACCTGCAAAAAGTCTTAAACTTGAAGTATTTACATCGCATCCCGGCGCACACCTGCTGCTTGGTGCTGAATTTAGTGTGGCCGGTGAGTCCTCGTGAGCTCCAAGATAAGGAAAACACTTCACTGACAGTATCAAACTCATTCTTATTGCCAACGGATGACTAGCTTGCTAAACGCGCCACCTATCACGCAAGGCAGCTTATCCTTATTTTACTACGTCAATTTCCCTAATGTGGTGCCAAACGTCAATTTCTATGCCACGAACGCATATACCCACATGTGCATGTTGATTTTATTACACACTGGCATTTTTATGTAAATGACAATTTCCAAGTTTGATGTAGACGTTACTGTCTTCGTCTATACTTTAGCCCACTGCGGCTCACTATATGGTAGCTGATTATTTTTATCGTAACCACAGGGAAAACTTAACTCGTTGGCGTCATACAATGTTTGGGAAATGAGATGTAATTAGGTTTGATCCACAGGGAGGGTGACTCAAATTCCTTGAAACAAGACCCATTTACCAGAATCAAGGTATCCCCCTTGAGAGAGATGGTGTCAGAACACCAGCTAGTTTATATAAAAATATTAAAAATAATAATAAAAATAATAATCTTTATTTCAACAAGTACATGTACAACTTGTAAAGACTTAGCAGACATCAGTGACATACTGCTGTATAGAAAGCCTTTTGTTAAGCAGAGCATTTCGGGCAAATTAGGTAAATTTTTCCCCAGGATGCGACCCACACAAGTCGACTAACGCTCAGGTGCCTATTTTACGGGTAATGATGCCGATTAGAATAAAAACACAAAATGCAAACACTAAGACATTTTATTGGAAACGTTTAGATCATGAGACCCTATTCGCCACTATTAACCAAATTGTAATAAAATATAAATTATACCACGGGTGGGATTAGAACCCACGATCAGTCTCAAAACTCCAGACCGTCGCGTTAGCCACTGGGCCAGCTAACGCGACGGTCTGGATTTTTGAGACTCTGATCGCGGGTTCTAACACCACCCGTCGTATGGTTTGTTTGCAATCGTGTCATTACGATTTCGTGAGTAATAAAATATAAGCCTGTATATTCAAAAAGACAGTCGGAGGGAGGTCTGGTGGTGGTTCACCTAACGGTTGTATCCGGTATTGGGAAGGCCGAAGTTTGATCTATTCATGTATACCAGAATAGGGACAATATAATTTCCTGCTTTATGTGTGACTTACTGTGATCATAAAGGATTCCAAACTACATTTACTGAGATCTAGAGCTCTGATGACCATCTGTGCGTTGGCCCAATGCATTAATTGTCCCTCTGTCTCTGTAAACCTCGCACGAATTATAAAGGTCATTCCTGCTGCATACATACGTGTGTTCGTTGTTGCTAACTGATAAATCTATGTCTATTTCTTCCTCCACAATGACCACATAGGATCGTCTAGAGTTCGAAGGGTGGATGTTGAATGCTACTTGTAATGCGTTCCTGAATGGACGTGGAAGTTGCAGATGACAAATGGATATGGAGCTTAACCAATGCAAATGTCGTATTTCTAGCATGGGAAACTATATACCTCTTGGAGATGTATTTCCTAGGTGTCAGTGTGTTCTGTAGATGTGCTAAGTATGGTCTTTACCTTACATCTACAATCGTATATGACAAGGATACTCAAGTTGTGTAAATGTTTGTCCTAAGAAGGTTGGAAAGACGGAAGGATCTCGCAAAGAAACCTACCACTATTTCCCTCTTAGCTCATGCGTCGTGGTGACAGCAGTAGTGTATTAAATAGTTTTTGTTGGAGGGTTTTCTGTATACTTTCAAACAGCTTGTCACTATGAAAGTTAAGACACATGTGCAAAATCTGGATATCTTTATTGTAGATGTTTCGCCATCCGGTGGCTTTATCAATACAGATTCTAGGACATAATTACAAGACAGTAGAACTATATACTATATTCTAATTATGTCCTAGAATCTGTATTGATAAAGTCACTGGATGGCGAAACGTCTACAATAAAGATATCCAGATGTTGCACATGTGTCTTAACTTTCATATTGTCGGTATTTTATACCTTCTTGCACAGCTTGTCACTATCCTGGGACCTGCAGAGAAGCCACCCAAAATATCCCAGGTAATACTTCACTAAAACCAGCTGTTGTATATTGTCAAAATCTATTCATAAATCCTCATTACACGAGGAAGGATTCTGCTCCTCTTAATCGACGAATTGCGAATAATATTTATATTTTATCCTCGGCCATCGGGTATATGTATGTGAAAGTTAGGTGTCACAAAACAATGAACATCCCACTACACTAAACACTGAACGTTCTACCACACCTGTTGTTTTCTACGTAGTGGCAGTTCAGGGGAGCATTGTCCATCACAGCTAGTAGAGGTAAAGGCACGAAGAAAAGACACTTTGCAGAACACGAGTTACCGTAAGAAACATAAAAACGGATGAGCACTGCAGTAGGGCTGCTGTATCACATGTATGTAACACCAGGTAGCTTATGAGTTTTTTTTTTTTACAAAGTAGAAGCCATATAAAAAGAGTAGAGTATATGGAGAGTAAAAGAGGCGAACAGAGTGAGTGCAAAAGTAGAGCAAATGATAGATTGGGTGAGGTGTTGTCACCAAATTTTGCTGAGAATGGGAAAATTTTTTGGAGATAAATAGGTTAAGAAAGCCTAGGGAACAAATGGATTTGACAATTAAAAACAGAATAGAGACGTAGTAGATGGGAAGGTGGAGGTATTGGGAAGATGGCGAGAATATTTTGAGGAACTGTTAAATGTTGATGAAGAGAGGGAGGTAGTAATTTCATGCATTAGCCAGGGAGATATAACATCTTTCAGGAGTGAAGAGCCAGATGTGAGTGTGGGGGAAGTACATGAGGCATTAGGTAGAATGAAAGGAAATAAAGCAGGTGGAACTGATGGGATCATGACAGAAATGTTAAAAGCAGGTGGGGATATAGTTTTGGAGTGGTTGGTACTCTTGTTCAATAAATGTATGAAAGAGGGGAAGGTACCTAGGGACTGGCAGAGAGCGTGTATAGTTCCTTTATATAAAGGGAAGGGGGACAAGTGTAAAAATTGTAGGGAAGTTGCATTTATGGATTTAGAAAAGGTATATGATAGGATAGATAGGGAAGCAATGTGGCAGATGCTGCAAGTGTATGGAATAAGTAATAAGTTACTAAATGTAAAGTTTTTATGAGGATAGTGAGGCTCAGGTTTGGGTGTGCAGGAGAGAGAGGGAGACTACTTCCCAGTAAAAGTATGTCCTAAACAGGGATGTGTAATGTCACCATGGTTGCTTAACATATTTATAATGGGGTTGTAAAACAAGTAAATGGTAGGGTGTTGGGGAGAGGGGTGGGAGTAAATTATGGGGAATCAAATACAAAATGGGAGTTGACACAGTTACTTTCTGCTGATGATACTGTGCTTTAGGGAAATACTAAAGAGAAGTTGCAAAGGTTAGTGGACGAGTTTGCGAGGGTGAGTAAAGAAAGAAAATTGAAAATGAACATAGATAAGAATAAGGTGATGAGGGGTATTAAACGAGTTAGGTAAAGAAAAACTGGGCATTACATCGGAGGAAGAATGGAAGTGAATGTGTTCAGATATTTGGAAGCAGATTTGTCAGCGGATGGGTTTATGAAGGCTGAGGTAAACCAATGAATTGATGAAGGAAGAAACGTGAGTGGTGCATTGAGGAACGTTATCCAAGGAGGTAAAGAACGGAATGTATGAGAGTATAGTGGTCCCAACACTCATATAGGTGTGAAGCAAGGGTTGTAAAAGCTACAGCGAGAAGGAAGGTGGGGCATTGGAGATGTCCTAAGGGCAATGCAGTGTGGAGTTACTAAAAGTATTATTCAGAGGACTGAAGTTTGTGGTGCAAAGGGCTTAGACATACAGCAACCATGTGTGGCGTGTTAGATAGGGGTGAATGGAGACAAATGGTTTTTGGTACTTGAGCTGTTGGAGTGTGAGCAGGGTAATTTTTTGTGAAGGGATTCAGGGAAACTGGTTAGCCAAACTTGAGTCCTGGAGGCGGAAAGTACAATGCCTGCACTTTCAAGGAGTTTAGGATATTGGCTGTTTGGAGTGACATCTGAACTGTCGTTTCTGGGTGTCTCTGCAAAGAGATGTGTGAATGATGGTGAAAGTGTTTCTTTTTTTTTGGGACACCCTGCCTCTATGGGAGACTGAAAATTATATATAAACATTTTTATTTTTTAACCTGACAAACGTAATTTAAATTTCGTTATGTTCAGATTGATTTCCGTAAGCAATGCGTGTCGTAAGAGGCGACTAACATGCCGGGAGCAAGGGGCTAGTAAAATCCCTTCTGTATTCATTACTAAAGTTAAAAAGAGAAACTTTCGTTTTCCTTTTTGGGCCGCCCTGCCTCGGTGGGATGCGGGCAATTTGTTTAAAGATTTATAAGTTTGTCCTAATTTAAAATTGAAATTTTCTCCCAGTGTAAAAATTTCCAGCTATTTAATTGAGAAACTTAATACCGCAGTACTATGAAGTGTAACTAATTCATTAAGACCAAAACCACAGCACGAACTCCCAGCGGTGTGTGGGGCTCCCTCATCCGGAACGTGTTATCGGATGTCACAACTTTATGAGAAGGGAGCAAGAGTGAACCGTACGTCGACACAACATAGAGCTGTGGTATTTGAGGGTGAGGCCACCTTATCTGTGGGATGGACGTGGAGGGTGACAGCAGCAGCCGCACGGTCTGCCAGTACTGAGCTTCACCCCAGCCGGCTCACAGTTACGCCAGTGCCCCCGTCAACTACCTGCCCTCTTGTAGCGCTTATTAACTCAAGGTAATTTGACCTCAGGTAGGCCTAACTCCTCAGTGGTACCTGCACTTGGTGCTTGTTCCTCTGATCACACGACCACAACATTCTGACCTTCATTCGAAGACAATTTTTTTTAAAAAATCTTCACAGTATAGCATATGGGAATGTCTGAAGATCTGCCCCTAAAAGAAAAGCAATGAACCGTGGTTATGGGAATTTTTGCTATGATAAAGTCTCCTAACAGCTGTTACCTTCCATCACCTGTCTGTAATTCTAAAACTAGGAGTTACATAGCTGTTGTAGGTCGCACTCTAGGGAAGGACTTCAGAACCCCAACAGAAATTTGCTACACTCTTTCTTTACACGGTCTTCCTCGGTTTTATTGTGTGCACCAAAACCAACATAATCTCATCCAACCTTACTAAAATTTACTTAATATAAAACTTTATTTACCAATTTACCTAGGAATTAACGTAACTATATTTCACTTCGCTGAGGAGCCCAAGGAAATAAAGTGGGCTAATCTTTACGTCATGCCTAATATGTGCCACTGAGCGTCTTCTCTGCAGTGGAAATCAAAAACACACAATAATTTTATGAATAGTTAGACTGAAGGTACGAATAACCTGACTTCTACTCTATTAAACTTGAGTTCCAGTGTTTAAACCCACCTCGGGGTTCAATCATCTATCAACGTCCAGATCAAACCACCATTCCTCCTCGTTACTGAAAATTCAATCATCGGTTGACCAATTCCAGTAATCGAAAAAGATATATATACATCCAATCCTTTTACACTTTCTGGCATTTCCTACCTTGTAGAGAAGTGTGCAATTTAGAGAACGATAACAAATGTATTTTAAAGGTTACAAAACCTTAAATCCCATCTGGAAGCAAGATAAATGATAAGAGTGAAAGAAGAGATGGAGAACTAAGAGTTTAATGTCCCTAAAAAATTATATGATACACTGAGGAAACAAACAGCATATATGTGTAACTTGCATTCCATCACACAGGATGGGTTTACTCATGAAGTCGTGAAATCTGTCAGCTGGAGCTGGGAGACCTCAGCAGGACGATGAGGATATCGTAAAGCATTCTACGAAGGGTTCAGTAACTATGGCAGATTCAGAGGTAATATTAACCCCGGAAGAACTGGAGGTGATGTTAGAGGAAAGTGGCAATGTGAGGAGAGCAATGATAAGAGTGGGAAAACAGAGAAGTGTGGGGAAACGGAGGAGACTGGAAAAACAGATGTAGGGAAAATAAACGATACTGAAGAAAAAATAAATGGACGAGTGTAGGGAAAAGATAGGATAGTGTAGGGTAGTGTTTAGGGGAGGGAAACGTATCAAGAACTGTGTAGGGAAGAGTCTAGGGAAGAATAATTTAGGTGAGAAAGTTAGTGTGGGAGAGAAGGATAGTGTGAACAAATGACATGAGATTATGTCAGCGTTTCAGGGTATAACGTGTCGAGTTTCATGCCGAGTCGATCAGAGATGCCGAACTTTCTCAAAAATATTTTTAGAAAAATTTCTTTTGCGCATTAATATGTTTTGTATAACAAGTTACGCACATTTAAAATTTTGCACCAAAACTCATTTAGCAAACCCATTTCTAACTTTACTAAAATTAACGTAATATAATTTAACAATCTCATATATTTTAGGTCAGCCAAAATTTAGTTAATACTACTTAACATTAAGAAGAATAACTTATGACGTTTCTGTCTGACTTGGACTTTTAAGACCAAACCGTCTTCTTAAGTTTCGTTCTCTTACAAGCGCGTTATATGTGTATTACTCAACATTAATGAAATGTATTGATTTCGTAAGGTTAAGAGCGTTTTTCGCTGAGTTATTGCAACATCGAATTTACACAGCTTGTTCAGCACAACTACCGCTGGTTTATGTTAAGATCGCTGCTATGTTTACTGAGCACCACATACTGCCACATAACATTGTGCAGTATAGTGCGGGGAGACTGGAGTATAGTGCTGGCAAAGTGTATTGTGCAGTATAGTGTCGAGGTGTGTATGGGGAAGAGTATAATGTTGGGAGTAGTGTGGGGAGAGTATAATGTGAAGAGAGTGAAGTTTAGTGTGGGGGAGTATAGTGTGGGGAGTATAGTGTGGGGGAGTATAGTGTGGGGGAGTATAGTGTGGGGAGTATAGTGTGGGGAGTACAGTGTGGGGGAGTATAGTGTGGGGAGTATAGTGTGGGGGAGTATAGTGTGGGGAGTATAGTGTGGGGAGTTGTGCAAGAAAGGTATAAAATACCGACATGTGTCTTAACTTTCATAGTGTGGGGAGAGTATACTGTGGGAGACCATAGTGAGTGGAGAGTATAGTGAAATGAGAGTGAAGTTTAGTGTTGGGGAGTGTAGTGGGAGAGTGTAGTGTGGAGAGAATGGAGTAGTAAGGGAGAGTATTGTGTGTAGAGTGGAGAGTAGATTATAGTGCGAGGAGAGCAGAATATTGTCAATCACAGGTTGAGGGGGAAGAATAAAAAGGTAAAGAATGTCAGTTAAGAGAAGAGTTCAGAAAGATTAATATGAATCAAGCTATGAATGTTTGTCAAGCATTTAATCTAATCTCGATTTAGCAGCGCATTATTAATTTTGAAACACTTAAACCACATGTGATTTCAAATCTATCGCTTAAAGCTGCCTTCTGATAAGACAAAATGCATTCAAGACTGGCAGTATTACTATGAGATTTTGTCAAAATTACAACTTATATGGTAGGTAGAGCACTGAAGAGAGTTAGCCAGAATAACAGAGCCTGTCAGTGTGGCAGGCGTTATCAGCTGTGTTAACTTATCTTTGAGCGTCGACGATATGAATCAGGCGGTGGGTCACATTCCCTGTGGCAACCGTTGGCACCGCTCTCTCACCAACACCTCCAGATCGTCTTTAACCATCCCAGGTAAACCCCGTCCCCCCCCCCCCACACACTACCCTCTTCAACATAAGCACACCATACAAGAAGCAACCAAATCACTGCGTGTACACCGAGCTTCATACAGGACGTTACACAATTCCATAATATGATCAGAGGTATATACACCCTGAGGTCTGTACCTCACTGTGTATATAACCTGAAAGTTTAATTCGCATTTTAAAGATCGAAGTATTTTTCGACAGGTGAACTACAATTTTATTGACCCACGCGAAGTTGTGGCTTTACACCAGACAAAACCAACCTTGAATAAACAATGTAACCCGATTATTTA